ACCACATCTCAGCCATGCTCCATCTCAATACTATAAGCCCAATAAATTTCTACTTCATTTGCAAAACAGTACCAGTGAAATGAAACTTGGGAGATGAACATTTATGAGCAGTGGAATACTTATCTACATTCTTTATACCTGCCCCACTAACGTAAAAACTTATTATTAGAAAACTAATAAAAAAGTACATAAACTCAAGTAATGACTCATGAGACAATCACACCTCTTAGACAGACATGGGCAATGACTGATAAACATACTACATATGCTAGATAAAAGTATGAAATTATAATGACAGGAACAATAATGAGAAAATAATTTCAAGTCATGCTATTTAGATATATCTGAAATATTACCATCCACTGAAAAGTAAAAAAAAATTAAAAACACCATAACAATATTAACAATATGTAATATTACTAGCATATATTATCAGTTCTTGAGTATAGATAAGGAAACACTGATAAAAAATAAATGTTCAATGTTATTAAATATTAATATTTATTATCAGGTAGTACCTATATTTCTTCATCCTACAATGACTTTGTTTTATTTCTTAATTTAAAAATAAGCATCTGTTCAGAGTAAATGAGTGAAAAAAACACAGAAGCGCCTAGAAGATAAAAACAACAATTACAGGTAAGACTAGCACTGAATTACAGGGCCAGTTAAACATTTTGGCATATTCTCTCCAATACATCTGTCAAAATTCATAGTGATTTCAATATCTACATACATCATCCTTCAAACATACCAGGCTCACAGTCCCTTTATCATTTTTCTTCATTGATCTGAGTCCACCATCTGCCTAATCATTCACTCCCATTGATCATTATCAGTAACTGTTCTCCCTCTGTAATCTCAAAATGTCAGGCACCTCATTCTCCAACTTCCTCAATATTTCAGCTCACTCCCTCTAATACTCAAATCAAAAAATCTTTCAATACCACTGTGTAATAAAGAATTTAACCTTGCCCAAAAAATGGTCTGACAAATATTGTATTAGTCCATTATTGTAAAAGTTAAGGAAAGGTTTATCTATTGGAGGACATTTTCTTTGTTGGTTACCAGGGGTGGGAGGGGAGGGGAGGGAATACTGTTAGATAGATAGAAATAAATATTGATTTGGGTGAAGAGAAGGGCAATGTACCAAATGTGAGTGACCAATATGGCAGCATTGAGGATGAGAAAGACAGAGAGAGTTACATGGGCAGTACAGACAATAAATATGAACCCTTTTGCATATACAGTACTGAGTTGTCAGTGAAAGCAAACATGGGTATATGGATGGATAGGTGAACAAGCTAAACAATTAGGTATGTCTAAATGGAGAGTGTATCCAAGATCATATATAGGGCAGACAATGGGCCTATAAGTTCATGTGAATGATCAGAATTCCCAGGCGTATAGTAGAGCTGACAAGGGGCAAGGTTATGGTCATTGCTTGGTCACAGCCAGCTACCCAGAGGGACCGAGTAGTTGATCCTGCGGGCTTGGGACCATAGTCGCAGGGGACATCAAGCTCAATTGGCATAACATACTATACAAAACATTGTTCCACCTACTACTTCGGCGAGTAGCGACTGGGACCTTAAAAGCTAGGAAGCTGCCATCTAGATGCAACAACGCGTCTCTCCTCGTCAAGAAGAAAGAAGAAAACCAAAATTAATGGAAACAATCAGTCCTAGCGACTGGTACACCATCCGATCTGCAACCTATACAACTATGAGACCAGAAGAACTAGATGGTGCCCAGCTACCACTGCCATCCACTTGGAAGGGATGTAGGAGATCCTGCATAGAGAGGGAGAACAATGTGGAACAAAACTCAGAATCATTTGGAGGAAAAAAAAAAAAGAAGGTGGGGACCAGGTTTGCTGGTCCAATAGAGCCTGGTGGAACCACTGAGACTATGGCCCCTAGCTGCCCTGCAGGTCTGGAATTGAACCCACAACTGTGGTTTCCAGCCAAACAAAGTACAGGCATGTGAGTTAAACATTTACCTCAAGTAGACACACGCCCTGGAGAGAACAATCATGGGAGAAGGAAGGGCTGCTTATACACAGGGAGATAGCAGAAGAGTATGAAGGGATGGACACTGGGAGGAGGTAACTATGGGGAGGAAGTGGGAGGGGAGCTGCTGCATTGTAAATTTTGGTCAATGACATGAGACAAAGTATATGTGAACTGCTGTATGAAAAGTGAATTTACTCTGTAAATCTTCACCCAAATCCTAATTAAAAAAAAAAAAAAAATGGTCTAAGCTTTGCCTTAAAAAAGGTCTGGGTTTTGCCTTCAGCTTCTGGGATGTAATCTCTAAATCACTGGAATGTCATGCATGATAAGAGTGTCTGTGTTCAATGGTTCTATGAGTGTATTTGTATGTTCTATAAGAATTCCCAGGTGTATAGGAGAGCTGAAAAGGGGCAAGGTTGTAGTCACCTCTTGGTCACAGCCAGCTACCCAGAGGGAGCAAGTAGTTGAACCCGTGGGCTCGGGACCATAGCTGCATGGAACATCAAGCTCAATTGGCATAACATACTACATAAAACATTGTCGCGACTGGGATCTTAAAAGCTTGCAAGCAGCCATCTAGATGCAACGATGGGTATCTCCTCGACCAGAGCAAAGAAGAATGAAGAAAGCCAAAGATGCATGGAAACAATTAGTCCAAGGGACTGGTACACCATGCAATCCACATCCTATACAACTTTGAGACCAGAAGAACTAGACGGTGTCTGGCTACCACTGTCAACCACTCAGAGGAGATCTATGGAGGAGATCCTGGAGAGAGAGGGAGAACAATGTGGAACAAAACTCAAAATCATTTGAGGGAAAAAAAAAGGGAGGGCAGGGAGGAGATCAGGTTTGTTGACCCCCAACTGCCCTTCAGGAGTAGAAATGAACCCACACCTGTGGCTTCCAGCCAAACAAAAAGCAGGCATATGAGTTGAACATTTGCCCAAGGTAGATACAATCCTTAGAGAGAACAATCCTGGGAGAAAGATGGGCTGTTTATGCATAGGGAGACAGCTCAGTGGGCAGGAGTGCATGGACGGATGGACACAGGGAAGAGGTAACTATCGGAAGGAAACTCAAGGGGAGCTGTTGTACTGGGGTAAATTGTGGTCAATGTCATGAGACAAAGTGTATATAAACTGCTGTGTGGAAAGTGAATTTGCTCTGTAAACTTTCACTCAAATCACTACATATACATACACACACACACATACGTATGTAAGTAAGTAAGTAAAAAATAAATAAATAAAGAGTGTCTTTGTTTACCTGGGAGGCTTGAGCAGCCTGACAGTAACAATGTGTTTTTAGGTGGGGGCACTGAGCCACATTAGGGTGAGGTTTTGGGTCACACAAGATCAGCTAGACCTTCTAAGTGGCTTGGAAAAGCTTCCCTGGCTGGTAATTTCCCATGTATGTTGACACACATCAAGACCAGAAGGGTAAAGCTCTCCTGACTCCTCTGGAAAAGAACAATTGGAAGCTTCACATTTGGAAATCTCCTGGACTCTGCTCTATGTGTCTCTTCCTTTGGCTGATTTTAATCTGTATCCTTTCCCTATAATAAATCAAACTTTGAGTATAACAGTTTTCAGTGAATTCTGTGAGTCCTTTTAATGAATTATCAAACTAGACGGTGGTTTTAGGAATAGTCCCGGCTTGGAATTTGTGTCAGAAGTAAGGGTGATACTGTGTAGACTCTCCTCTAACTTCACTCTCACAACCACCAAGATTATGATTCATGAATTATATAATTCCTTTTCACCATCCTACACTGCCCTCATGTTCTTACTCCTCTTTTCTATTCTTTTAATTATTTGTTGTTATGATTTGCTGTTGAGTCAGCTACAACTCATGGTGACCTTATGTATAACAGAACTAAACAATGTCCAGTCCTGGTCCATTCTCATAATCTTTGGTATATTTGAGCCCATTGTTGCAGCCACCATATCAATCCATCTCATGGAGAATTTTCCTCATTTTTGCTCTACTTTACCACTCTAAAATACACCTACTTCTCACTTACCAAGTATCCCATTATCCAATATTTTGCATTTATGACAACAGTAAAAAATACACTATTTGACCATTTTGCACCTTAACAATATAATCTGGCAGTAGTGATGAACACCAAGGTGCAAAGTGAGAGTAACACCGGCTGTGAGGGCTACCATTACATGTCAACTTGGCTGGGTCATGATTCTCAGTTGTTTGGCAATTATGTAATGATTTAATTTGGCAGTTATGTAATGATGTAGTCATCTTCCATTTTGTGGTATGATGTGGTCATCTTCTACTTTTGCATCCCTCTGATTTTTGCGTAACAACCTAGTCTTTGTAACCATATCAATAAATGAGAAGTGGGTGTACAGAAGCTCCAAAAATGTTTTAGTGTCTGGTAGAGCTGCCCTTTTCTTTCCCAACATTACCTTTTTTTCCCCCCAGGATTTTCCTGGATATTCTTATTTATTTTCCCATTTGAATTTTAAAATCAACATGTCTAGCTCCAGAGAGAAACTTATTATTTTTATTGGAGTCACATTCAATTTATGAATTACTGTAGGGAAAACAGATATCTTAATGACTTTGAATCTTTTTATCTATGAATATGATTTCTCTTTGCAGTTATTTAAGTCTACTTTTGTGTCATTTAAGAGTGTTTTATAATTTTGCTCAAATAAATTTTGTAGAGTTCTTATTAAATTTATAGCTAGCTACAACCTCAAAAACTCAAACTCACCACGATCAAGTTGATTCCAACTCATAGCAACCCCTACTGGGTTCTCAAGGCTGTAAATCTTTACAGAAGCAGATTGCCTCATCATTCTTCTGCAGAGCAGCTGGTGGGGTTGAACCACCAACCTTCTGGTTAGAAGCCAAATGCCTTAACCACTATACCACCAGAGCTCCTTAGGTGTAACCTAGGAGTGCATAATGTCTTGGAAGCAAATAAAAACATTATTTCCAAGGAGAAAATAAATTTACTGCATCAGATGCTGCTAAGAGGTCAAGTAAGAGGAGGCTTGAGAAATCATTATTGGATTTAGCAATGTGGTGGCCACTGTAGACCTCAAAAAAAGGAGTTTTATGAACTGGTGGGAGTGAAATTCTGTTGAAGTAAGTTCAAAGGGAATGAAATAAGAGACACCAGAAACAGTGAGTCTAAACAAATATTTTAAGGAATTTTTCAATTAAAAAAATTTTGCTCTAAAGTAAAGGAGAAAAATTAAGGTGGTGGCTGGCAGAAGAAATGGAGTCAAGAGAAAAGCTTTTTTTTTTTTATAAAAAGCAGGGAAAATTACGATGTATTTGTTTGCTGGAAAGATCCAGTTGGGAACAAAAAATAAATGATGATGGGGAAGGAAGGGAGAGGAGAAAAAGAAAAAGGAAACAGCAAGCAAAAGGGAGGGAGAATAAAATTGCTGGTGAGACTGGCCTTTTGAATGAGCTGGGAAATTCAACCACAGTAGCAGATAAGACAGTATATAGGCAAGTGTGTAGCTTTACAAAACAAAAATTTATCTTCTCATAGTCCTGGAGGCTAAGAGTCAAAACCAGGACCATGTTTAATGCTTCTGGGGGCCTCTCTCCTAGTTTCTGATGTCTGCTGGCAATTCTCAACATTTCTTTGTTTATAGAGGGATTTTCACATGGCATCTGTCTTCCCTCTATGTGTGTGTGTCTCCATGTCTGTTTTTCCTTTTTCCAAACAGGGTTATATTTACAGACACAGATGTTAAGACTTCAACGTAATTTTGAGAGGGGACACAATTCAATCCACAACAATACGTGCTCAGGTCCAAGTAGGTGGGTGCTTATGGAAGTATACCTACATATCTGTAACTACTTCAATGTTTCTTTCTTAAAGCTCTCTGGGGTTATTTAATTTAAAAATAGACTTCTCATTGCTAAATCATGTAATTAATTCCTGAAAGCCAGGAGTAATTTTTCCTGTTTTTTCAACATAGACATGAGTGTTGGCAGAGTTTAAGAAACCCTGGTCTATACAATACCATATTTAGAAAAATAAGAAGAAAGTATTCAGTCACTCACGATGCTCCTGAATTCATGATGCAGCTCTTTGCTCCACAAAAACAATCTCTCCCATCATCATGATTCATTCCAAGGTTATGACCCAGCTCATGAGCAACAATGGATGCAAATGTCTCAACAGTGATTTGCCCAAACTGCGGAAATACAGGAAGCCATTAATTAGGTTTCTGAGGAAAAGGGAAGCGTTTTATTTCTTGGATTTTTTTTTCACAAAAAGAAATTTATTCAGTACAATGATGGCAGCCTTGATGATATATCAAGGATCCAGCTGAAACAACCAAATAGCATGACCTCAACATAATGATTGTAACAGAGATGGATCTTTCCAGCAATAAGTCAATTACTTTAGCACCAAAAGATTATCCATGGTAGTTATGGAAAATCAAATTGATGGTTCTAATTTGATTCTATCAAATAAGAACCTATGTTTCCACATCCAAAAAAATGAAGGGTCAATAAACACATAATAAACATTAGAAAACTTGAACCAGTCTTTAGGGATAGAAAGAACACATCTGCCACTTCTACTAAAAAAACAAAACAAAACTCACTGCCATCACGTAGATTCAACTCATAGCAACCCCTCCTTGAGTTTCCAAGGCAGTATCTCTATGGAAGGCGATTGCCCAATCTTCCATCTGAGGAATGGCTGGTGGGTTTGAATCACCAGCCTTCTGGTTAGCAGTCAAATGCTTTAGGCACTACACCACCAGAGCTCCCCCCACTTCTACTATGTCCCTCATAATGCCAAAAATAATGATTTAAGGACTATGGAGGAAGTATAAGGAGCTCTGGTGGCACAGTGCCAAAGGCATTTGACTGCTAATCAGAAAGCTGGTGGTTCAAACCCACCAGCCACTCCTTGGAAGGAAGGTTGGGCAATCTACTTCCGCAGGGACACCGCCTCAGAAACCCAAGAAGGGGTCGCTATGAGTCAGATCTAACTCGATGGCAGTGAGTTTGGCTTGGGGTTATTTTTGGAGCAAGTATAAAGTCCATAAATGCTTGATACCACCCTAATGCAGAGGTCCAAAGTTGAAAACCAAGGACAAAAACGTACCACATTAATCCCGCCTGCATGGCTCCTTGAACACACTGTTCCCACAAATGCCATTCCTGCAGTCCCACCAAAACCCTTCTTCCTAGATGAAAAAAAGGTAAAAATTATAAAATGTACCTGTGGAATAAAAAGGAGCCCATGGATCCTATTTTTATGGTAATCTTAAACTGCTAAAGCCTATAATAATTCAGAGAAAAATGGTAATAATATATTGTTGTTGTTGTTATGTGCCATTGAGTCGGACCCGACTCATAGCGACCTCTCCTTGGGTTGCCAAGACAGTATCATTACAGAAGTAGACTGCCCAACCTTCCTTCCGAGGAGTGGCTCGTGGGTTTGAACCGCCAGCCTTCTGATTAGCAGTCAAGTGCTTTAAGCACTACACTACCAGAGCTCCCTGGTAATAATATATCACATTTTTAAAATGATAATGTAAGTGATGGTTGCACAATATGATCAATGCCATTGGCTTTATTGAATTACACACATGAAAAATGTCAAATTGGTAAATGCTGTGTTCTCAGTATTTTTCCAAAAATAAAAATTCAACAAAAGCAGAAGAGCCAGAAAAGAAAAATGGAATATAGTTATATCTTACTTCTTTTTTACTATCATTGAATAAGATTAATATTAGAAATGCATTTTTCAGACAAATACAAAACTTTTTTTTTTTCCCTCAACCTTTGGATAAAAAACCTTCCAAAAATGAATTACATTTATTTATTCAACAGATTTTAGTGAGGAGAGACAAAGAAACTAAATGAATATATTCACATAGGCAGCTACAGTGCAGTAAGCAAGCACAAAAAACAGAAGAAAAGTCACAATTGTCTCTACATTGTTCCTCAAACACGCCAGACACATTGTATCTCAGGATTTATTCCTTCTGCCTGGAACTCTCTTCCCCAACTCATTCCCTTACCTTTTTCAGGTTTTTACTGAAAAGCCATCTTCTCAAGGAGGCTTCCCCTGGCCACATTTCTCCCTCCAAACCAAAAAACCAAATTCACTGCTGTCAAGTCCATCTCGACTCACAGCAACCCCTCCTTGGGTTTCCGAGGCAGTAACTCTACAGAAGTAGATTGCCCAATCTTTCTTCCAAGCAGTAGCTGGTGGTTTGAACCACCAATCTTCTGGTTAGTAGTCAAATGCCTTAGGCACTACACCACTAGAGCTCCCCGTTTCTCCCTCACTCCTCCAATATTTTACACCACGCTTCCCTATTTTGCTTGTACTTCTTACCACTTATCATTACTAAACATACCATAAATCATAATTAATTAGCTCATTTATGGCCAATCTCATTCACTAAAATACAGGCTCATGAGAGAAGGAATTTTGGTCTGTTTTGTTTACTACCATACCTTAGTGCCTAGTATATAGAAAACGAAAACACTTTTAAATAAATGAATAAATCTTGCTGTGGGGAATCTGAACAGCTCAAGAGATGAGAACTAAAGATACTAACATAAGAAGATTCTCAAGGAAAACACACCAGCCAGATCACCCTATAGTGACTTCCATAGTTCCTAGATGTCTTATGATCCTCAGTTATTTGCTTGTGGTTAAGAGTGGGCTACTCAAAAACCTCTTAAAAGTTTGAGTACATGAGTAGGGACTCATCTGGGAAAAGCCTCTAGCATGGCATGTGAAGACCAAACACGAGAAAAAGATAGCTTGGGAGCATGGTTGATGTCCACTCCTTTTGGTCTTTTGTGAAGTAGAAGGCATTCTCATTGGTATGAAGATATTTGCATGTTTAATTTTATCAAAAATTAGTTTTAAAAAGTCAGGACCAAGCCTTTGTATTTATAGAGCCATAAAAAACCACCTAGGCATTTTAAGTTCCTTGCTTTAAATGAGCCAACATTAACAAAAGAAAATAATAAATATAGGGAAAATTCTCCACAGAAAAATGTGTGAATTTAGGTAGGTGCTATCAATAATGAGGGAAGCAAAAAAAAAAAAATCCCCAGCAATATAAATTACAACATTTTGGGCAAAAACTCAGCCCACTGAGACAGAAATTTTTAAAAGAAAAAACTTTTTAAATCACTTTTAAGTGAGATTTTTGCTCTAACGTTTTGAAATTTATTTGTATTGAGTAATTTTATTTATATAAGTTTTAGTTTCTGGAATTGACTTGACAGCAAAAGATTTGGTTTTGGTACTATGAGAATGCTAAACAGCAAGAAGAAATGCTTTTAAATATGTCAATAATATCTTCAAAAAGATTAGAAAAAAATATTATATTCATTAAGTAAGAACTTGCTTTTATCAAAAGCAGAATTAAGAGGGTTAAAATGGTAAGGAGGATAAAAAATCAGATAGAAGACATGGAAAACTCAATAAAAGTTTAGAAGATAAACTTAAGGAAATATCCCAGAAAGTACAAAAAAGGACAAAGAGAATAAAGATAATAAAATTAGAGGACCAGTGCAAGGATCTCAACAGCTGAGTAACAGAATACCAGAAGAAATGAAGAATGAAAATAAAGACAAGAAAATTATCTATAAAATAATTCCAAAAAGAAATTTCTAAAACTGAAGGCTACCAGTTTCAAGATTGAAATTACTTACTGAAAACCCAGCACAATGAGTGATTTAAAGATCTACACCAAAGCATACCATCAGGAAAATTCAGAAGCCTGGGAATCAAGAGAAGGTCCTACAAGTTTCCAGAGAAGAGGAAAAAACAGGTCACATACAAAGTATCGGGAACACAAAATACCTTCAGGCTTCTCAACAGTAATTCTGGCAATTGAAGGACAATAGTGCAATGCTTTCAAAATTCTGAAGGAGTAAGATTTCATGCCTAGAATTTTAAATCCAGGCAAATAATCATATGGGAAGGCAGAATAAATACATTTTTGGACATGAAAGAGATAAAAAAAAATTTCTTTCCATATTCCCTTTCTCACAGAGCAGCTAGAGAACATGCTCTACCAAAATGATGGAGTAAACTCAAGAAAGAAGAAGAAAGACATGAGATAAAAGTGATGGATAATCCAACACAAGAGCGGTCTCATTATCATACATCTTGTCCTACAGTATCAAACCAAGTTTTCCTACTTAACTAGATGCCAAAAAATCTTAAAAGAATATAATTCTAATATAAGATAATAAATAAATATATATAT